GAAGTTGTGTGGAGTGGCATGTGCTTATAATTTCAGCACCTGGGAAGTAGACATAGGAAGATCAGGAGTGCAGAGAGAGTATCATGAGTTCAAAGCCAGACAAGACTATATGAGACCCTGTCTCAAAAGCCAAAAAATAAAAAATTCATAAATGTTTGTAAATGGATCTCCAGCACAAATAAACTGAACTCATGACAAGTATAGCATACACAGGGAAGAATCATAAAGCATATAAACTTCCACTATTTAAAATTTACTCAGTCTGTGCCATTCTGTTCTAACAGCAGAAAATAAACTAAGGCAGACTTTGAACTACAACAAGAGTTCCATATGATCATCTCCATCGAGGCAAACAAAGAGGCATTTGCTATGTGATACCCTTTCATAATAAAACATACCCGTGCATCTGGGCACAGACAGAAACGTCCTTAACATAGCAGAACATTCATGAAAAAATGCACATCTGACACCATGTTAAGCAGTTAAAAAAAAATAAGAGCCGGGCAGTGGTGGCTCACACCTTTAATCCCAGCACTCAGGAGGCAGGCTGATCTCTGTGAGTTCAAGGCCACTCTGGACTACAAAGCAAATTCCAGGACAGCCACGACTGTTTCACAGACAAACCCTGTCTCAAAAAAAAAAAAAAAAAAAAAAACCAAAAAAAACCCAAAAAAAACCCCAAAACAAAACAACAATAACAACAACAACAAAAAAAAAAAAACGAAAAACCACCTAAAACCCATTCACAGTAAAATAAGAAGCAAGACAACTATGATCTTTTCACAGTTGTTCTTTGTACTGGACATCCTAGCCAAACAAACTAAATATGAAAAATAAAAAAAATTAGCCAATAAAGGAAGGAGGGGGACTAGAGAAATGGCTCAGCATAGAGTTGGGTGCCCAGAACTCACATCAATTGGCTCACAACTCACAACTACCTTTAACTCTAGCTCCTCTTCTGACCTCAAATGCATGAACACAAAGACAAGAACAGGCATGCTCGCGTATACACACACACACACACACACATACAAAGAAACAGAAGAAGAAACAGAAGGCAAAAGGGGCTGGGACGTAGTTTAGTAGGTATAGTGCTTGCTCAGCACTCTGGAAGGCTTGGGTTTAATCCATAGCACCATGTAGTGGCCCATACCTATAGTTCCAGCCTTCAGAAGGTGTATGCAGGAGGATCAGAAGCTCAAGGCTAGTCAGGCTACATCATGAGTTCTTGTTTCTAAAATAAGGTGCTGGGAAAAGAAGGAAGAAAGGATAAAAAGTACTTCCATTTGTAGATGATATTACATGGTCCTACATAATACAAATTCTTAAAGAATCCACAAGAAAACTATGAAAGTCAGTGAACAAATGCAACCAAGTTACAGGCTTCAAGCTCAACTCATAAATCAGTTATATTTCTGTATACTAGCAATAAATAATCTGAAATGGAATTTTTAACTGCAAAAAACATGACTGGACGTGCATGCCTATAGTTCTACCATTTGGAACACTGAGGAGAACTACAAGTTAAGAACAGCCTGGGCTATGTAGAGCTCCAGGCCAGGCTAGGCTACTTAGTGAGACCCTGACTCTTAAAAGTGACTCTATTTATAATAGTACAAAAAGAACAAAATATCCAGAAATAAATTTCAGCAAAGAGATGAATTTTGTATAAGCCTAAATTTCTAAAATATTACGACAGAAATTAAAGACCTATATAAATGTTCTGTATGCATAGACTGGAAATTTAATATTATATAGATAAGATAATAGTATCTCCAAAGCAATCTGTAGTTCCCATGTAATTCATGAAAAAATTCTAATGACTCCCTTTTTAAGTTTAATTTTATCATCATCATAATGATTGTATGTGTAGGATGTGTATGATGTATGTGTGTATGATATGTGTATGGGAGTGCAGGAATGCATGTGCCGTGGTACATGCATGGAGGCCAGAGGACAGCCTTTCTGGAGTTTATTGATTCTCTCCTTTCACTATGGGTTCCAAGAAACAAACTCAGGTCTTCAGGGTTTCAAGGTTAAGTGCTTTTACCTGTTGAACAATCTCACAAGCCCCCAGTGACTTCCTTATGTAACCAAGAAGCTGATTCTACACTGTACCGAACCCTGAATATTATAATACCAATTTGACAGGAAAGCTGTGCCCATAATGTAATGTGGCATGAAGGCTATGGGAATAACCAACTGCTTCCTGATTGGATTTGAAGCCTGTTCCACAGGAAGTAGTTTCATGCCTGTTTTTACTGTGATCCTGGTTTAAAGCCCATGGTTGGATAGGGGAAGTCACAGGGTGGAACTTGCAATTGTTGTTTAGCTAAATGACAATGATGTCAAATCGTCTTTTAAATATTCTAGTTTATAACCAAAGATTAGTGCTACTGTTAACCATTTGCCAGAGAAGCTTCTGTCCACAATGGGCAGCAGGACATGCAGAGGGAGTCACAACCAATCAAAATGCTGAGAATATCCGACTACGGAGAACTCAGCTCTAAATGTGACAGCTACATCAACCTCTTCCTGAGCCTCAGGGAACATCTTGGAAGAGGGGGCAAGAAGAGTGTAAGGTTCAGCCGACAGGGAGAAGCAGTGTGAAATGCTGTCTTCTGCACAGAACATGGCTGCTGCCCTCATAAACTGACTGCAGTTTTGGTTACCTGGACAAGATCAAGCCAACAATATCAGTCAACATTCCAGAAAGCAGTGCTAACTGGACTCAGTGGAATACATTAAAAAGAGAAAAGGACATGAAAGTGGGAAAGGAATGTGTTGAGGAGCTTTTGGTGGTGGGAAGGCAAGTTCTGAGCAGCTAAGATCAAGATACATTGTTTACCTGTATCTCCACTGAGGCCCTTCCTTTGGAGGTCAGGAACCCATGGAGGAAGAATTGTAGGAGCCAGAGGGGTCAAGGACACCAGAGCATGGGCCACAGAATCAACTAAGCAGGGCTCATAGGAACTTAAAGTGACAGAAGCAGCAACCACTGAGCCTGTATGGGTCTGGACTAAGTCCTCTGCAAATAGGTTATGGTTGTTAGCTTGGTGTGTTTGTGGGACTCCTAACAGTGGGAAAGTCTCTGACTCTTTTGCCTGACCTTAGGGACACTTGTCCTCCTACTGGGTTGCCTCGACCAGGTCTGATATGAGGGTTTGTGCCTAGTCTTACTGTAACTTTTTATGCCATCTTTGGTTGCTATCCCTGGGAGGCCTGCCCTTTTCTGAAGGGACATGGAGGAGGAATAGATCTGGGGGGAGAGAGGAGGTGTGGGAGAACTGGGAGGAGGGTGGGGTGGGGGGACGACTGTGGTTGGAACATATTGTATGAGAGAACAATAAAAAGTTTTAATTGCAAAAAATACAAACAGACAATTCTCACTGGAGGAAATTCAAATGGCTGAGTAACACTTAAATGTTCAGCATCCTTAGCCATCAGGGAAATGCAAATCAAAGCTGCTTTGAGATCAATAGCACAAGTGACAGCTCTTGCTGCCAAGCTGTGGAGTACTGGGAAGTTTTCCATTGCTGGTGGGAGTGCAACCCCTTACAGATATTATGGAAATCAGTGTATCAGCTCCTCAGGAAGTTGGAAATTGATCTACTGCAAGACCCAGCTATACTACTTTTGGGCATATACCCAAAGGACGCTTAATCCTAACCCAGAGACAACTGTTCAACCATATTAATTGCTGCTCTATTCATAATAGCCAGAAACTGGAAACAAACCTAGATGTTCCTCAACAGAATAATGGATGAAGTCGTGGCACATTTACACAATGGAGTATTATTCATCAGTTAAAAATAATGACATCACAAAATTTGAAGGCAAATGGATGGGACGAGAAGAAACTCATTCTGAGTAAGGTAACCCAGACTCAGAAAGGTAAGCATGGTATATATTCACTTATAAATGGATATTAGCTGTGAAGTAAAGGATATCAAGCTACAATCCACAGACCCAGAGAGGTTATATAAAGAGGGCTGTGGGGAACAGGACTTGCATGGATCTTCCTGGCAAGGGAAACAATAGATTTTTTGGGTGGACTGGGGGTGAGGGGATGGGAGCAGGAGGGTGATGCTCAGGTGGGAGGGAAGAGATGGAGGGTGAGAACGCTGGGAGAGACAGCTGGGTTTGGGGGGAGAGGCATTGGAAGGCAGGGTGGAAACCTAATGCAAAGGAAACTTCCTGGAATCTGAGGCTGATCCTAGTACTGGGGGATACAGAGTCTGAACTGGCCATCTCTTGTAGCTTGGCAAGGCCTCCAGTGGCAGGACTGTTTGCATTCCGTTGAGTTAGTGGCCAAAGGAGTCCTGTGGAGATTCCTGAACAACCCAGGCTAGAGCGAGGACAGAGAGTTGTTCTCCAAAATCTGACAGTGGGACCCCACTGCTGAGGACAGCATCCACACAGCTGACTGAACATAGAGAGCCCTACAGGTGCCTGCATGGGGCCTTCACCCCTGTGTTCCATTTTCCTTGGAGCTTAGAGAATATCATGGAAGATGGAGTTAGAGAGGATGAAGGACACCAGGAGAACGTGACCCACTGAATCAACTAAGCAGGGTGCATATGGGCTTGCAGAGACTGATGTGGCAAGAACAGGGCCTGCATGGGTCTGCACAGGGTCCTCTGCATATATATTAAGGCTATTAGCTTGGTGGTTTTTTGGAACTTCTAACAGTGGGAGCGGGTGTGTCTCAGTCTTTTGCCTGCTCTTGGCACTCTTGTTCTTCTATTGGGCTGCCTTATCCAGCCCTGACAGCAGGGCTATTGCCTTGTCTTTTTCCTGTTTTGTCATATTTGGTTGTTGTCTCTTGGAGGCCTGCTTTTTTCTGAAGGGAAATGGAGTGGGAGTGGATCTGGGAGAAAAGGGATATGGAGAGGAGCTTGGAGGAGTGGGGAGAGAGTAACTGCAATCGGGAATGTACTGTATGAGAGAAGAATCAATTTTTAATAATCAATTATATTCTTAAAAAGGAAATTGACAAATAAATGCCATTTTTCTTTAATGTTATCTTTTTGAGAATTTCATATATTACATTTTAATCATATTCACCCCTCCTAACTCCTCCCAGATCTACCCCCTCCCAATTCCATACCCACCGAATTTTATGTCCCCATTTTTTAAAAACATGTGAAGTCCAATTTCTGCTGCCTATATATTCTTGGGTTTATAGCCATCCAACAGAGGGTGGTGATGTACCAGGTACCACACCACTAAAGGAAACTCTTCCTCTCCCAGAAGTTATCAATTACCAACAACTCTTCAGCTAGTGATGGGGCTCCAGGCCCACTTCCCCTTTCCATGCTTGGATTTTGTCTGGCTTGATCTTGCACATATGAACTCACAGCAATTGTGCATCTTGTATAAGACCTGTGCAAGATAAATGTTTTTAAAAAGCAGACCATTAAACTTTACACAAAACTTACTCAAAATAATAAAAACATTCTTGAAGCAACAGAGCAAAAGTAGAACATATTCCTTTACTTACTATAAAAAGTGCATGTTTGTAGACACAGGTGATCAATAGTTCAAAGGGGATCTAAGCTACATAGCAAGTCTGAGAATGACCTGAGCAACATGAAACTCTGTCTTAAAAAACAATACAACAAAAACCAAACAAAAAACATTACTATAAATTTACGGTAATTAAGTACTTAATATTGTCATTAAGGATAGAGACAAATGGGGAAAATTTCATAATCCAGAAATAAACATCTATGTCCATGGTTAGTTACTTTGGTCAGGGTTTCAAATCCATTCAAGGAAGAAAGAATAGTCTGCTTAACATACTACTGAAGGGTAAGTAGATTTCCAAATACAAAAAAAAAAATGCAGTCATACATCTCCTTCAACACAACCTATAAAACTTAACTCAATATGGATCAATAAGTGAAATATAAATTATCAAACTAAAATTTTAAAATAAAATATAGATGTAAAACCTTGTGACTTAGATTTGGCAATAAATTCTTAGATATGATACCCAATCATTCAGTGATTGATTGAAAATATAAGTCAATTTGACTCAGTAACACTGGAACCTTCAGGGGGCTGAGAAATGGTGCAGTGGGTAGATGATGGCCTGACTTTGATCCCTAGGACATACACAGTAGGAGAGAACTGACCAAGGTGTCCTTTGACCTCCATCTGTGATTGTACTGTGGTATGCAGGGCTTATATCTAGGGTATAGAAAGAACTCCTACAATATAACACCAAAGACAAAAATCCACTTCTAAAAATGAACAGAGAATCTAAATCAGGGGACAGTAGTTCATGTCTGTGATCTTGGCAGCTGCGAAGCGATGGCAGGATAATCAGAAATTCAAAGTCACCCCAGCTTCACACTGAATTCAAAGCCATCCCTGAGTATAAGGGATCCTTATCTCAAAAAAAGATCTTTATTACAAAAGCCTTATATGAATATAGTCAATATGCATGGAAAGGCGTTCAACATCATTAATAGTTAGAGAAATTCAAATCGGAACCACAGAAAGATTCTACAACATAACTAAGGGGATGGTTATAAAAAAATAATAGATGGGTGCAGAGCAAGATGGCTGCCAAGATCCTCAAGTGATCTAATATGATTTCCGCCCACCCTCCACCAAACAAATGGGACTGCTGTTCACAAACAAACCTCTCACAAAAGCAAAGGAAGCCAATTGAGAGACCATAGTGCAATTTTAGTATAATAAAAAAAGAAGTAATGAAGAATACAGAATAAACACAGAGAGTGTGTGTGTCTGAGGGAGGAAAGGAGGGAGGGATGGAGGAAGAGGAAGAGGAAGAGGGAGAGAGAGAGAGAGAGAGAGAGAGAGAGAGAGAGAGAGAGAGAGAGAGAGAGACACAATTTGTGATAAGAGAGGGAAGTTCATCCAGGCCTCAAACTTGAATCCCAAAACCAGACTCATCAGCATGACTTCAAGAGGACAGACAGCCTTGTGATCAAGCCAGTACTTGTAGACTGAGTTTCTGGATCTCTTTAGCCAGGTGTATAAGAGACAGCCTGGCTCCCAATGTTTGTCTGCCAAAACTGGACAGGTGAATAAGAAGCAATACTCTATTCTCTATAGAATATGTTAGAAAAATGTTAGAAAAATGAGGATACATCTTTGCCTTGGAGTCCAATACTGAGCCCACAACAGAGAGACCATGCACAAGGTAGATCCCAAAGGCCACACCCCCTCACAGGTATGCATTCACATATGGAGCCTCTAGAAATACTTGGCCATCAGATAGAGTCCTTTACGCTCAGGCAGAACAGATTTGGACTTCATCCTACATTAAAGACAACCACAGCATGGACTTGGAGTACATATCTGAGACTGTGCAAGTCTTACAGCTGTGAGACTGGGGTGGATTGCAGCTTAGCATCAGCCTAGGCAACCAAGAAAACATTTCCACCACCCTTCCTCTAATCTTGGGTGACAGCAATGGGGACTTTCTTCCAGAAAAGGACAAATCCTTACAATCAGCATTCATAAGCCAGAGGTCCTATATCCAACCTGGTGTTAGATAGAGACTTGTATGTGGTGATATTTTGTTTGTGCCTGAAGATCAGAGAATAGAACTAAACCAGTAGAGGCGAGGCAGTGGTGGCACATACCTTTAATTCCATGAGTCAGAGGAATCTCTATTAGTTCAAGGCTACTCTGGGCTACACGAAAATGATCCAGTCTAAAAGAGAAACAGAGCCAGGCAGTGGTGGATCAAACAAAGGTGATCCCAGCATTTGGGATTCCACGCCTTTAATTCCAGCACTAGGGAGGTGGAGACAGGAGTTACATGGCTGGGTGGAGAGTGGAATATAAGGAAGAAGGGGCCAGGAGCTCAGGATTCAATCTGAGGTTTAGTGAAGACAGCTACAGTCCGAGGATGCAGCCTGAGGTGCAGTCTGAAACAGTCTGAGGAGGCAGTCTGAAGACAGGATCACGCTTTTGTTCTGAGCATTGGTCGAGGTAAAAGGTCTCCCTAGTGGCTGGCTGCTCTGCTTCTCTGATCCTTCAGCTTTCACCGCCGGATAGCTGACCCTGAGTTTTTATTATTAAGAACAAGGGCCAGGCAGTGGTAGTGCACATCTCTAATCCCAGCACTCGGGAGGCAGAGGCAAGTGGATCTCTGTGAGTTCGAGGCCAGCCTGGTCTACAAGAGCTAGTTCCAGGAAAGGCTCCAAAGCTACAGAAAAACCCTGTCTCGAAAAACCAAAAACCAAACCAAACCAAAACAAAGCGAACAATTAGAATATGTGCTATACTTGTGACCCACCAATTGTATTTCTACTCTGACAAACATAACCTGTGGCTGATTATAGTATTCAAGGACCAGTTTGCCTCAGCAGTAAGCAAACTACAACAGTATGGATATGAGTCCTATTCCTATGCTGTGTAGGTCTGATGGCCCTGTGAACTGTGGGTGAAACCAAGCAATAAGATACTGGTGGCCACGGAGCCGCCAGGATGTCTCCTTGGCGAGATAGTGCCAGCAGTCCTACAGCCTGGAGGTATACAAATCCTTTGATGCTGCTGCGCAGGCCAGAGTGCTTGGGGCCTTGTTTTGCATTTCAGAGCCTTGGTCCTGTGGCCTTGGGCCCTAGCAGAATGGCATCAACCAATCAGCATTTGAGCCTCTCACCCTAGAAAAGCGGCTGCCTTTGGGTTTCTCTCTCTCTCTCTCTCTCTCTCTCTCTCTCTCTCTCTCTCTCTCTCGTCATCCCTTTTCCCCATTCCCCTTTTCAACAAAGTGGCTCCAATAAATTGTGATTGAGAAGGATTCTTGATTTTGTGATCGTTCCTTCTTGCTGGACAAGGAGTGCGTGTCACAGCCAATTGCATTCCTTCCATAGCCCCAGACAGCACAACAGGAAGAAAGTAATTTTCCCATGAGGAAACAAAAAGGGAGCTGGGTGCCAAGTCACTGTAGTTTGATTGGGATGCTCCATGCAGGGTAATTATGATCTAATCAGGGCAGAATCCCATGGTGCTTGAACACAAGGCAATGATGGTGAACAAGCCAATTGGGTTTAACCTGGCTCCTGATAGAACTCTGTGGGAACAGAGTGCTAATTTAAGGCACTCTACCAGTTCATTCAAAACAACCCCACAACTGCAAATTTAGGACAAATTTGAGCTTGGAACACCCTTTAGTGTGAAAACACGGAAAACACACTGGGGCTCAGCAGTATAATGTGCTGAATCAGTGGAAGTAACTACAAGCTCAGAGAAAATAAAACAGTCTGCTTAGGATAGCTACAAAGACATAAATAAAGCCAGATTATGAAGATGAAAATAAACACCCAATCTTTTAATGTGCAAATATCATCATATGCTAACAAGGATGTGTTTGACTGAACTGATTGTGACTGCATATGATTTTCTTCTGTCTTTTGTATACTTTTCCTATAACACACATGCTAACTTAAAGTTTGTGTGGTGTGGTGTGTTTATGTGTGCATGTGCACAAGCATGTGCAGGTTTTTTAAAACTTGGAAAAAAAGAACTTTCAGAAAACTGTGACCTCACTTAATGGATAAACATACGATGCCAAAACCAACTACAGAGCAAACCAACAATATGTACAAAGTCTCGGATGGAGAATTCAAAAGAGCTGTTTTAAGGAAACTCAATGACAGGAAGAAAAACAACACAGAAACATGTCAATTTTCCAGAAAACTTAAGAGATGGAAGCAATTGAGAATTGGCAAAGAGAAATTATTGAGCTGCAAAATACAGTTAAAGAAATTAAAAAACAGAAATAAGGGATCAATAGCAGCACATCTTAAACAGAAGGGAGAATTATTGGAGCTTGAAGACATACTATTTAGACACATTCAGAGAATCGGGTTTGATTGCATGCTGAGAAGCCATTGATATAGGCACTGGGACTTGTTTCTACAGCATATGCTGGCTTTTTGGGACCCTAGTCTATTTGGATGAAAAGCTTCCTAGACCTGGATATAGGGGACAGGGCCTTGGACTTCCCACAGGGCAGGATTCCTGCCCTCTCTTAAGGAGAGAGGGGGAAGGAGGAGGGTGAGTGGGGGAGCAGGAGGGGAATGGGAGGAGGGGAGGAAGTGTAAATTTTTGAATGGAAAAATAAATTTAAAAAGACATACTATTTAAATAAAAAGCAGTTGGAAGATAAATAATAAATGATAAATGATAAAAGAAGATAAATGAAGAGGTGTGGTGATATTTTATTTGCATTTTAATAAATAAAACTTGCCTGAAGATCAGAGAGTAAAACAGCCACACTAGTCAGCCACACAGTCCAGGCAGTGGTGGCACAGATCTTTAATCCCAGCAACCACACGAGTTAGCCATAGAGGCTGGATGGTGGTGGTGTACAGCTTTAATCCCAGCACTAGAGAAGA